CCGAGCGCTGATACTGGCAACTGACAGCTCGGAAGACACCAACAAGCAGATTTTTAACTGGGACTAAGACACTTACCAAAGACGAACTTGAATTGGTCATTCATATCACTATCTGGAGGGCCACGGAGCGCCAAACCCCCCCCAAAAAACAACACAAGCAACCATGACTACAATGTCTCTGGGGCCAGACAAGATTGTGGAAGGGTCTGGACGAATTTGAATTTATTTCACTTTCTTACCATCACTCACTGCTTAACCCTTTTGAATTTGGCTTTTCCCACCACTCACTCAAGGTACCTCTCACTCCTATTTACCAGATCCAGTGTAAAAGGACACTGACAGACTGTACTGTTTTCTCATCTTTCTACTAGTAGCATCTGCTGCACTTAATTTACTTCCTTGTGGAACTTCTCTCCCTCTGGGGTCCTTTACTTTTCTTAACCATAAAGGTGTACCACCTTTATCCTTCTCTCTTCATTCTTCTGGGGCACCTCATCTCGTCATACCTTGAACTACCCTCTCGGGTTAAACCTTACTTTTTTGTTTGGTTCTAACTCCAACTTCTGTGCTATAATCATTACCTACTACCAGTTCCTCCAAATCCCACCAACACTATTTGTCTAAAGTAGAAGTGATAACCTTACAGACACATATACTTGCCTCTCCCCCCCCCCGACTTCTCCATTCCTTTTAAAGGCACTTCATCTGCTCAGCCACCGGGCTGGAAACCACAGTGTTATCTCTGGTTCTGCTATTTCCCTTTCCCTGAATATCCAGTTAGTCAATTCCGAATGTTCTTTTGTTCAAGGGCCAGCCTATGGCTCACTTGGGAGAGAGTGGTGCTGATAACACCAAGGCCACGGGTTTGGATCCATATATAGGGATGGCCAGTTTGCTCACTTCGGAGAGCATGGTGCTAACAACACCAAGTCAAGGGTTAAGACCCCCTTACTGGTCATCTTTAAAAAAAAGAAAAGAAAAAAGAATATTCTTTTGTTCTGAATATTTTTATTCTGAGTCTTTTGTTTTGTTTGTTGGTTAGTTGGTGGCTGGCTGGTATAGGGATCAAATCCTGCACCTTAGTGTTATCAGCACCACTCTCTAACCAACTAAGCTAACTGGCCAGCCTATTCTGAGCCTTTTTTAAGAACTTCTGCAATTATCTCTTCATTTCCATTCCCTCTCCTGTAGCATTGTTGCATTCTCCCTCCAGATCTCCTTTTTCCTAATAATTTTTGCTGCTGCTTAATTTTATCCTTCCAAAGCACATGACTGGTTTTATTTCCCACTACTATTTGTTTCAGAAACAGTGCCTAAAGTAGGGTTTTTCATAGTGGGTCCACACCCATTAGTGTGGATCATGAAATTAATTTAGGGGGTTAAATCAGCCTTTAAAAAGTGAAATAGAATAAAAAGTATCACAGTGCATTACACATGGAATGAGAAATCCTTTTAGGAAATTTTAGTTTTGAGCATATCGTGCACGTGTGTGTGTGTGTGTGTGTGTGTGTGTGTGTGTGTGTGTGTGTGCGCACGCGCACATGCTGGATTGCAGTATAGAATTATTTCTTACTGTGGGTTGTAGGGAAAAAAAATGGTTGAGAGCTGCTGCTTTAGAGAATTTCAGAATGGTCAGGTAGGCAGTCAAGATCTTTAGACTTTGGCTAATGTGTACTTTGCCAAATACAATTCCCATGACCCTCCTACAGCATTACTATCCCTCTTCCTTGCCCAAAAGGGTGCTATCTTCAAGGGACTGTTTCTCCTTCTCCTTTAAAAAAGAAATATCAGGGGGCCGAGCCCGTGGCGCACTCGGGAGAGTGCGGCGCTGGGAGCACAGCAGCGCTCCCGCCGCGGGTTCGGATCCTATGTAGGGATGACCGGTGCGCTCACTGGCTGAGCACAGTGCGGCCGGTCTCAAAAAAAAAAAAAAGAAATATCAGGAAGCAGTATAGTGTAGTAAAGAGCCAGACTGTCTGAAGTTGAAATCCCATCTCTGCCCTTAAGTAGCTGTGTGACTTTGAACAAATTACTTAATCAGTGCCTGTTTCCTCATTTGTAAAATGGGGATAATAGTACCTACCTCATAGGACCGTTGAGAAGATTAAATGAGTTAATATCTGTAAAGACTGCCAGGAACATGGGAAGTGCTATTATCTGAGAGACCTTATTCTAAATTCAAAAGAACACTGACAACCTGAATTTGAGTTTCCCGGCTCCATGACTGAGCCAAACCTAACCACTCTTCTCATCTGTAAAAAATGGGAATGGTTATAAATTATGAACTTCTCTCTGTGTCCCCAGCACCTTGCACAGTGTAATACAGAGTGTGTAATAAACATTGGTTGAATTTACAAATATTTAGCATCTATCTTGTGCTTATAACTCTGATAAGTACTGGGATACAAAGATTAATAATGAAACTCAGGTATGTCATAAGTGCTACGATAGAGATGTGGACCAAGTGCAAATGGTAGCAAGAGAGATAATAAGCAGGACTGACCATTGGATTTGGTCAGAAGAAGGTGATTGTTGAATGTGCAAAAAAGTCTACCAGTGAAGAGTGGGGCCAGAGTCATATTATAGTGAAATATAAGTGGGTATGTTGCATAAAACATTAGTTTTATATAATGGGTTTGGATGGAGATGTGATAATAGCTTAGAGGGGCATAAGGGTATAGAGTAGGGTTTTGTTTTGTTTTTAGGATGGAATTGATGTCTACTTTATGAAAATACATTTTATGTTGGGCTGTTGGTGAGAAGTAACTATAAATCTAAATTACATTTCTGAACTGCCATCAAATGTAATGTTGACTATTGTAAGGTCAACCTGAAGTACAGATGCTACCTTCCTACAGCCTACTCTGACCTGGACCTACTCTTCTTACACTCTTTGCCTAAGCTCCTTTGCCTCCTGGGTTGTAGGGGGCGGGAAATGCCTTCTATAAATACATGCATCACCATTATGGGCCTGTTAGGGTTCATCTAGATAAAGAATTCTAGGCTGAGTGGAGATGTGACTTGTCAAGTCACAGAATAGCTTAAACACACACACACACACACACACACACACCGCATACACACACACTCACTCACTCACTGCTGGAACCAGGCCCCAAGCTTTCTCTTTGCTGCACTCCTGCACTCAAGGAAAGAAGGCGCCGAGGGTGGGCAAAGTGATCCAGCCTTATCCAGACACACCTGGGTTCGAAGCTAGCCACTTCCAGCTCTGCGGCCCTCCCCAAGTTATTTGTATGTCCTAGGCCACGGTTTTCTGCCATGTGATTGGAGCAACTCCCATCCAGGTGTAAAACACTTGGGATAGCGTCTCAGTTTCTTTTATAGCTGTTATTTAGAAAGAAAAAACAAAAACCCAAGGTGAAGTTGTTTTTTTTCTACTAGACTGTGAACTTCGTGAGGACGATGGACCAGTACGGACCCAGTAGACTCCGCCCGAGGCGGACTCGAGTGACGAGTCCTACTACGCCAAGCGGACGACAGCAGTTTCGGACTCGGGGACTTAACCTGACGTGGCGGGGCGGGACTTCCGGCAGGAGGCGGACGTGGAGCGGGAGGCGCGGATCGGCAGGTGCGGCTGAGTGGGCAGTGGTCGCCGGGCGCCGGGCGCTAGCCCGAGAAGCGAGGCAGGNGCCGCGGGTTCGGATCCTATGTAGGGATGACCGGTGCGCTCACTGGCTGAGCACAGTGCGGCCGGTCTCAAAAAAAAAAAAAAGAAATATCAGGAAGCAGTATAGTGTAGTAAAGAGCCAGACTGTCTGAAGTTGAAATCCCATCTCTGCCCTTAAGTAGCTGTGTGACTTTGAACAAATTACTTAATCAGTGCCTGTTTCCTCATTTGTAAAATGGGGATAATAGTACCTACCTCATAGGACCGTTGAGAAGATTAAATGAGTTAATATCTGTAAAGACTGCCAGGAACATGGGAAGTGCTATTATCTGAGAGACCTTATTCTAAATTCAAAAGAACACTGACAACCTGAATTTGAGTTTCCCGGCTCCATGACTGAGCCAAACCTAACCACTCTTCTCATCTGTAAAAAATGGGAATGGTTATAAATTATGAACTTCTCTCTGTGTCCCCAGCACCTTGCACAGTGTAATACAGAGTGTGTAATAAACATTGGTTGAATTTACAAATATTTAGCATCTATCTTGTGCTTATAACTCTGATAAGTACTGGGATACAAAGATTAATAATGAAACTCAGGTATGTCATAAGTGCTACGATAGAGATGTGGACCAAGTGCAAATGGTAGCAAGAGAGATAATAAGCAGGACTGACCATTGGATTTGGTCAGAAGAAGGTGATTGTTGAATGTGCAAAAAAGTCTACCAGTGAAGAGTGGGGCCAGAGTCATATTATAGTGAAATATAAGTGGGTATGTTGCATAAAACATTAGTTTTATATAATGGGTTTGGATGGAGATGTGATAATAGCTTAGAGGGGCATAAGGGTATAGAGTAGGGTTTTGTTTTGTTTTTAGGATGGAATTGATGTCTACTTTATGAAAATACATTTTATGTTGGGCTGTTGGTGAGAAGTAACTATAAATCTAAATTACATTTCTGAACTGCCATCAAATGTAATGTTGACTATTGTAAGGTCAACCTGAAGTACAGATGCTACCTTCCTACAGCCTACTCTGACCTGGACCTACTCTTCTTACACTCTTTGCCTAAGCTCCTTTGCCTCCTGGGTTGTAGGGGGCGGGAAATGCCTTCTATAAATACATGCATCACCATTATGGGCCTGTTAGGGTTCATCTAGATAAAGAATTCTAGGCTGAGTGGAGATGTGACTTGTCAAGTCACAGAATAGCTTAAACACACACACACACACACACACACACACCGCATACACACACACTCACTCACTCACTGCTGGAACCAGGCCCCAAGCTTTCTCTTTGCTGCACTCCTGCACTCAAGGAAAGAAGGCGCCGAGGGTGGGCAAAGTGATCCAGCCTTATCCAGCCACCGTGGCCCCGGACCTCTTCTGGGGAACCTACCGCCCTCACGTCTACTTCGGCATGAAGACTCGCAGCCCGCAGCCCCTTCTCACCGGTAACCGGGCCCCGGGCAGACGCTTAATCTGGGCGCCCCAGCTTCCCGCCAGAGCAAGGTGGGGGAGGAGTGGATCAGGAGAGTTATGAAGAGGGATGACCTTGAAGTTCTCGGAGACCCACAGGGACAGGCGCCGTGCACTCTCTTTGACTTACGCGGCCATTCTACCCCCCCCCCCCCCCAAACCAGGCCCCAAGCTTTCTCTTTGCTGCACTCCTGCACTCAAGGAAAGAAGGCGCCGAGGGTGGGCAAAGTGATCCAGCCTTATCCAGACACACCTGGGTTCGAAGCTAGCCACTTCCAGCTCTGCGGCCCTCCCCAAGTTATTTGTATGTCCTAGGCCACGGTTTTCTGCCATGTGATTGGAGCAACTCCCATCCAGGTGTAAAACACTTGGGATAGCGTCTCAGTTTCTTTTATAGCTGTTATTTAGAAAGAAAAAACAAAAACCCAAGGTGAAGTTGTTTTTTTTCTACTAGACTGTGAACTTCGTGAGGACGATGGACCAGTACGGACCCAGTAGACTCCGCCCGAGGCGGACTCGAGTGACGAGTCCTACTACGCCAAGCGGACGACAGCAGTTTCGGACTCGGGGACTTAACCTGACGTGGCGGGGCGGGACTTCCGGCAGGAGGCGGACGTGGAGCGGGAGGCGCGGATCGGCAGGTGCGGCTGAGTGGGCAGTGGTCGCCGGGCGCCGGGCGCTAGCCCGA